ATTGCCTCCTCACCACTCTTGTCGAATAACCGCGGTTATCTCTCTTCAGTCTCCCATTCTTACACAAGGATCAATAGGAATAGTATGGCGTCGTATTGGGCTTGTATCACGTATGGTTGAGGGGGTGCACCCACGCCGTGCCCGATTTGCGAATTCTGGATTTGCCGAGACTCCAAGTTGTGATATTGAGCGGGACGCTGTTCGAATCTTTGTGCATAGACTTGTCGATTCAGGGCCACGGTTGGCACTGGAGCTAAAGCCGGATACTGCCCCGTGGCTTCTCCCTCACCCGCCTTACGAGTAACCCTGTTGCTCCCTGCCTCGATATTCGCATGCTGTCCAGTGTATGGGCGTCCGGCATGCGCGGCATGCGAATTACCATTTGGTTGAGCGCCAGGCGCAGGGTCATGGATCACGCCATTTTGGAAACCATGATTACCATTTTGGAAACCTTGATTGTTCTGATCCATATGCTGGGCAGCATATGAGTTGCTTCGCTGAGGCACAGGGTCGTGGACCACACCATTTTGGAAACCATGATTGTTCTGATGCATATGCTGGGCAGCATATGAGTTGCTTGGCTGAGGTGCAGGAGCTGGATGATGGACCACACCATTCTGGAAGCTGCGATTATTCTGATTCATATGCTGGGTAGCATTTGAGTCGCTTGGCTGAGGTGCAGGAACTGGATGATGAACCACACCATTTTGGAAACTGTGATTATTCTGATTCATATGCTGGGCAGCATATGAGTTGCTTCGCTGAGGCACAGGGTCGTGGACCACACCATTTTGGAAACCATGATTGTTCTGATGCATATGCTGTGCAGCATATGAGTTGCTTGGCTGAGGTGCAGAAGCTGGATGATGGACCACACCATTCTGGAAACTGCGATTATTCTGATTCATATGCTGGGCAGCATTTGAGTCGCTTGGCTGAGGTGCAGGAACTGGATGATAGGCCATGCCATTCGGGAACCCCTGACTACCTGCATGGAAGCCATTTGGATTTCCCATATTTTCAATATTTTGATCATTGGCCGGCTGAGTACCACCGTTAGACGGGTGGTTGAACTGTCCATCCTGTGGAAACGGAGGATTGGCATTCGGCGGGGTGTTTTGACCCATTGCGTTGGGAGCTTGGACGCCCGTACCCATTCCATTCGAGGATGGCGGCATCGTGAATCCGGCGTTTGATGGATTCCGATGAACGGTTCCGGGGTCAGAAAATCTGTTAGGCGCTTGAGCGACAGGGGCAGGCGCATGGGAGTTATTGGGCCATGCATGAACATCTGGCTGATATCCTGGAATGGTCGGATTAACAAAACCCGGATTAGGGGCTGGTGCGTCCTGTTGATAGGTTTGGGGTGGACCGTGTGGATGGGTAATAACCGCCCCTGTTTGGTTACCTTCGAAACTTCCCGCCAGTACTCCCTGGTTAGGATGATGAATGCCGGGGTGCATGTCGTTGCTCTCTGGATTGGGATGCCCTACATTGGTTTGTTGGACTCCATTAAATTCCGAATGTGGCGGGACATTTAACCCGTCCGGCACAGGATGATGCGGAGCAGATGGGTGAGGCTGGGACGAATGCGGCGGAAGATGTTCAGGATTCATTCCAGGGAAAGGCTGGATCGTTCCGTTCTGGGGTGGCCCTACGTTGCCGTGTCCCGGATGGTTTGGTTCATGGAATGGCTCATTATGATGAGTTCCCGGAATGTAAGAAGGCGCTCTGGGATTCATCTGATGGTGAGCAACCGCAGTGTTATTCTGTCCAAGGTGGTTGGGCCCACGGAAGGGACTACCCTGCTGGGATCCTTGATTGTGGGGAGAATTTCCAGGGTTCACTTCATGAGGAGGTTGAGCCACTCCATTCTGGTTTGCGATCATATTGTTATTCTGCCCGATCTGGTTAGATACACTGAAGAATTCATTGTGATGAGTTCCCTGCATTTGGGGCGGAACTCCGAAGGTCACCCCATCAAGGGAGTGAGATACTCCATTCTGGTGTGCCATCATCGTGTTGCTCTGGCCATTTTGACTAGGCACATTGAAAGCCTCATTGCGATGAGTCCCGGACATTTGTCTGTTAGGACTGCTGCCGCTGCCGTTGCCGTGATTGTTGTTTGATACAGGCCCATTGCCGTTGGGAGCTGGTGGCTGAACTCCATATCCAGGATTCATGGGCTGAACACTGCTGTTGAGAGGTGGTTGCTGCACCTCATATTCAGGATTCATGGGCTGGATATTGCTGTTAAGAGCTTGTTGCTGCATCCCGTATCCAGGATTCATCGGCTGGATATTGTTGTTGAGAGGTGATTGCTGCACCCCATATCCAGGATTCATGGGCTGAACACTGCTGTTGAGAGGTGGTTGCTGCACCTCATATTCAGGATTCATGGGCTGGATATTGCTGTTAAGAGCTTGTTGCTGCATCCCGTATCCAGGATTCATAGGCTGGATATTGTTGTTGAGAGGTGATTGCTGCACCCCATATCCAGGATTCATGGGCTGAACACTGCTGTTGAGAGGTGGTTGCTGCACCTCATATTCAGGATCCATGGGCTGGAAAGACTGCATATAGGTGTTGTTATTCTGAAAGTGGTGATGCGCCCGCGTATGCGTTTGCGCATGGTTTGGTCCTGCGGCATGTGGAATTGGGGCCATTACGGTATTGCCATTTTGGAATTCGGTACCAGGCATGACGTTAACCTGATTAGCAAAGGCGTGCTGCTGTGGACTGACTCCTGGATGGACTGGCCGACCGTTTGCCTCAACATGGGGCTGCGGGACCTGATGGTAGCCGTTGTGAGGAGTTTGATGATTGACCTGTTGTACTCCTTGCCCAGTCCATGGTGCAGTGACCATATTGTCATGCACTGCATGCTTCACCTGAGTTTGGTTGGGCTGGGAAAATTGTTTGTTTTGGAACATGGTGACACCGTTCATTTTATCGTCTGTGGATAGTATAAATAGTGCTTTAGTGGAGCGAGTACTGGTTAAGATAAGAAGGGTATAGTAGCTATCGAGTCCGCTTGAATACTGCGTTGACGTGGTCGTTTTTTGTTGTTTTCTTTCGTTCCTTTTGGATTGGTGGAGAGGCCCGTTATCGATATTGGCCGAGACGGGGTCGGTGAACAAAGTACTCTGCCTCAGAGATTTTCGGTGGAAGTTGACTTAAGATAAAAGGGGGATATCAGCTATCAAGTAAGCTGGTAGTTTGTTGAAGTGGTTGTGCTGTTGTTTGCTTTCTTTCCTATTGGATCGGTGGTGAAACCGCTGATTGATATTGGCCGATAGGGGGTCGGTGAACAAAGTACTCTCAGAGCTTTCAGAGAAGGTTGAGAGAAGATAGAAGAGGTATATCAGCTATTGAGTAAGCTGAAATACTGTGTCAAAGTGGTTGTGCTGTTGTTTTCTTTCTTCCTATTTTGGATCGGTGGTGAAGCCCTTTATTGATTATTGGCTGAGTGAGAGGGGGTTGACGGACAAAGTTTCTCTATTTCGGAACTTCTTGTGAAGAGTGAGTTAGGATGAGAGGTGGATAGCAGCTATCTATGAAGCTGTGGTAATGTCTTGAAGTTGTTGTTTTGTGGTTGTCTTTCTTTCCTTTCGGACTGGTTGTGAAACCCGTTATTGATATTGGCTGATAGGGGGATGACGATTTAAGCGCTCTATTTCAGAGTGTCTCTTGAGGGCGAGCGATAGGAGCTCGTTGGCACGCAATGGTGAGTGGTTTTGACGAATGATTTATACTGGTGATATGAGGAAGGAGTTAACGACGCTAATCTGAAAGTTTATGTATAGACAGTTTGGATCTAAATGATCATTGATGGTGTTGAAATGTCTTGCTTCTTTAGATTCAAAGAACTATGTGCATCTAAAATCACAGCGATGAAGTGAGAGTCAAGATAGACGGGGTTTTTTATGCAAACGAAGGGGTTGTGATGGTAGGTATGGGAGGGGATATGAAGAAGGGAAGGAGAGGAGAGAAGAGGGAAAATCGCCGGAAGGCAGCGGGCAAAACATGAGGCGCCACCGCGGCCAGCAAGCACAAGCAGTACAGTACTACTGCGAGAGCTTATCATTCGGGTTAAGCGCTACGAGTTTGGCTCTACGACGGTGACAAATACCTTTTAAAGATAACCTTTTCCAGTGCCATACATGCCAAAACCCGATCACCCAAGGTATAGGACGAAATGGGATGTTCGTCATGTATCTCGCAGCGCCCGATGCTGCATTGGATCCTTACCGTGGGCCCCGTCTATTGGAAACAAAAAAGATCGGTAGCAGACCAACATCCTTTACAATGAGGCCTAGTTGGGAGCTGGCGATGTAGGGTTTACTATGATGGGAACTACGGCTATGTCCTCCCGTTTACTACGAACCCGGGGTGTTATTTGGCATATTGCACTATCTATACCTCCTACGCTCACATTTAGATGGATTGTAATTGTTTTCACTGGCATCGCGCGGAATATCCCTCTTATCTACGGGAGATGGAAATGTCAACAACCACACACAGAAGCTAGTCTACGGGCTTGTTACAGGCGATAGGTGACATCTGCAACAGCAACAGCAACAGCAATACCGGAATATTGGATAGTTTTACTATCCTACCAACAGCAGCATATTCCGGAGTGAAATATTTCGTGAGTATGTAGTAGTATATTATTTTTTTAGCGCAGGCCAAGACCGCTGTTGCGACCAATCAGAGAAGCTCCGTATGAAACAGCGTATATACAGTACCGTTATTTACCGCTTCCCCTGCCTGCCAGCTCCTGGATGACGTCAAAATTGAGCGCCCTGATTGGCTTTGCGAGGCCGGGGTATAAACTTAATGTGAATTAAAGTAGTCGATCAAAACGTCTAGTCTCAACGGCTAAATTACATGACTTCGTCGTGGCCGCATGTCCAGAACGTACATTATCTACATTTATTAGTGACATTCCTACTAGACTGGGGTTGTGGTGAAGAGGTAAAAGCACTATACTATTGTCTTTATGAGTTGCTGAGAATGAGAGCTATGTATCTTGGGTAGCGCTCGAGTAGAGCGAATGCAGATATTTTGGAAGACTGTTAAAATATCCGACCACATATTATTCCCCACCAGCTCGTCCAACGGCTCGAGATATTTCAACATTTACCTGAAAGGGCTAACCTTGCGGCCGGTAGATGGCCCTGCTGGAATTTACGCTTTTGAGGCCGATCAGTGTGTGGATACCCGAACACTACCCACTTTCGAAGGCTGAATAAGCTGGCATCGCAGTGGAGAAGATTATTGCTGCCAAGTTTTGCCATGTATACACGAAGGCGGAGAAGAATCAGTGAACCGTGAACCTTTAGACTGTTGAGTTTGTTGATCTTTGAAGGATACGATTCAAACGCTTGCTCAAAGCCACCGGAATTTATGTGGGAACTACCTGGGTTAGTTCTTGCCAGAGTACGGTGGCGTGTAAGAATAAGAACGGTTTATGGCTGGCCAGCTAAATCCAAAACCCAGTCTTGGTGCGAGTGGAAGCGGATAGCCCAGGAGGATTATGATTTCTTCTTCAGCAAGTATAAGTATAATTATAGTTCCGTCCTGCTATTCAGCACGAGAAACTAGAGTTAAGTTTGTCTGTTCTCTACGCTAGGGAGTTAAGCTTTTTAGGGCTGATCAGTCCCAGCGAATGGTAATGTACTGTACATGTATGTACGTACATACATACTTCCCCATCTGCAAGTATCCAGCCACGTGAAACCTCAACGGCAACTGTGCAACGGGGCTGGGATCATATACCCACTTGATCTATATATCTCAAGAGGCGTTCTTGTTCCATCCACTAAGTAACCCCAAATTCTGGGACAGGCCGGATACCTACTGAGGAAAAGTACTAGCAAAGCGTCAATACGTCGGAATCTACCTTGCAATTCTGATAGCAGAGAGAGCTGGTCAGCGGGTGAGCGAAGACGAAACGGGTAGGTTCTGATAGGCGATCTATGACTCGGGTTTGAACCGCATGGATGTAGGTATGTGCATACATGTATGTACATGAACAGTATGTACCATGCCCTAAACGTTATTATGCCTAGCAGAAGAATCCTTCGAGCAGAACACTGAATTCTAAAAGCGGATATGAACTTTCACGCCACCGTTGAAGTATCCCAGAAGCACACATGAACAGTCAGCGAATTCGAAGATCATGGGCTGTGCAATCCCTATCTGGTTAGACACTACAGATCTGTATTTTGAAGCTTATCGCCGCTTTGGGACTAAATATGGATGTCGCTCCAACCCAACCCCAAAATAATTTTAGTTCTCTTCGGTCGAAATCTTACTACCTACCAACACCAACCCTAATTCGCTTGATATGCCAGAAAGAGATTGAAAGGAACCTATAACTACATTTGAGTCAATGGGGATTTTCACGCTTTCACAGTTATATCCGATATCTAGACACACACACCAATTAAAATTGATCTCAGACCGATTTCACAGGATCTACATAGGTTAGTGCATTACATTACCATAGATAGTTTAGTTTATGTAGACACTCGAGGTTGCTATTCTTAGCTATACAGTAAATTCCTGGACACTCAATTATAGTGAACCAATGTATGTACTGTACTATTGGCTGTGCAGATATCTAGACACTCTAGCTCTAGAAATCCCCTCAGCTTTAGAGGTCTCTAATCCGTAGACATCTCTACAATGGCTAACTTTCCTACCCACTAACGGTTTTAGCGAAGAGAGTCCCCATTATAAATAAAATAACTATGGCTAATGTGTGTCCGTACTCGCTCTAAAATCAGTGTCGAAGTATCTACATCTCAGACTCTAGCCCTAAATTAAATAACTGGCCGCGGCAATTACGTCATGTGATGGTCGCCTGAACTTGGAACCCCAGCAACAAATTAAATCCAGGAGGAAAAAGGTAACGAATTACCTCGACCTGTATATCAACCCATCTTTGGAGATCCCCTTCCATCTTCCGTTGCGGTGTTATTTTGTTATTATCCATGGATGCCTCAAATCCTACTGGCAGAACTGAACAAGCTCTGTCATCGCGCAGCATTCTCGATCGCGCTGCGGCGAGTTTTGGCAATGATGATGTCGAGGTGCTACTGAAAAATCCCTGGGAAGCCATCGCGCTGATTGGGCATGCCTGTATGATTGCTGTTGACTTCAGGCTGATTGGCCTGGAGGAAGACCACAGAATAGGTTTGGGACTTCCCTTTCCGTTTGTCTTCACAAGTCGATCTGTGCAGCTGAACCAGTCTAACTGATGCTCCCCACTCTATAGAATCTCAGGAACCCTCGTCGCCGCTACTACCCAAGGAGTGGAACGCCAGCTCCACCTATGCCTTCAAATATGCCCACCCGCAATCATCTATGCAGTTCTTGCTCAAAATCACTCGACTCGGTGGCAACGCAGTCATCTACGCGCTGGCCCTTGGCCATGACAAGACAACATCCTTTGACGTCCCTGTCAAAGATTTCATCTCTGAGTCAGCCGTCCCCTTGTCAAAATCCACCGAGGAACTTACCCGGTCGCTCGAGCAAGTGTTTATTTCGTCGTCGCGACTCAGCGATTTGATCGCCCTGTTTAAAATCAATGTAATCCAGAAACTTGCGCCGGGTCTACAAAAGGAGGGATATGAAGATGGGTCCTCCTCTAGTCGAGAACAACGTGAACGTGAATTAGAGCAACCAGTACGACAGCCACGACAACCGGTAAGAGATCCTCTACGGGACGATCGTCACCCGGAACCAGCCCGCCCGTATCCCTTTGGTGATCCACTTGCTGCACCCCCACGACGGCCGCCAGTCCCAGCAGGTGATTTCCCCCCGCCTGGGTTTGAAGATGAGTACGAGATAAATGTCCCTCCGCGCGGGTTCCACCCGGGAGGAGCAGGTCACGGGCCAAGGAGACCAAACCTTGGAGAGCGCGATCTATATCCCCCTGGTCTGGGGCCTCGCGATCCACTGGTACCTCACTTTGGGCCGCAGGGTGGGGGAGGCATGCATCCGACATTTGATGACCCCATCTTTCAGCATGGAGGTGGTAGAGGTGACGGTGATGAATATAACCCTCAAGTTCCTCCTGGGGCAAGGTACGATCCTATTGGCCCCGGGGATGGGCCACCGATTGGAGACGAAGATCGGGAGTGACCCTGGGAATTCCCGAGGCGAGTCGTGGATTTGGAGGTGGATTTGGCATTTGGCAGCGGAAGCATTCGGTGGTGACATTATTTAAGGGTATGATGCATAACTACCAGCTAGCTTGCTACGTTGCTAATTATGATATGATGTGTGAAATCACGCTTACGCTAACATCTGTTTGTGACATGAATTTGTATATCCTATTGTATGTACTGTACATAATAAGTAAATCACATGGCAAATGAAATACTCACGGCTTTGAGACCTGCAAATAACAAAAAACACGATGTGGAATAGCATCCATTACAGTAACGATGGCGCAGCTCCTAACTGTGGCTGGTGCATTTTGCGGCTGTGGCGCGACTGACTAACCTGAATCTCCAACACAACAAAAGAAGAAGAAGAGAGACCAAGAGACCAAAAGAAACGCCATTATCAACGCCTGTCTCAGCAGCTACAGCTCTACTCGCTTCTCCCGCACTGGAATAAAGCATTGCTACGACCAGACCCTCTCTCTCCTTCATGATTTGTTGATACCCAATTCCTTCACTTTCTGCTCCTTGTTCCCTTGCTTCCCCCACGCACGCGCCCACGCACCGCCCGCTGCTAACGACACCCCTCCATCCATTCGGTGATACCTGACATCACCATAGTCTTGTCTCCTCCCGCCTCCCCCCCAGTCCCTCTTTTCTTTTCTATGGACAATAAAATGGAGATCGATTCAGGACGATCACCCGAGCCTCACCACCTCTCTCCTACAAGCGATCCAGAGTCAATACCCACGCTGGATGGCTGGATTGAGAGCCTGATGACCTGCAAGCAGCTGGCTGAGCAAGATGTACAGAGATTGTGCGATAGGGTGAGTTTCTATTATATTTTCCCGCGGGAGCTCAAGGAAGAATGGGAACAATAGCGCTCAAAAGCACGATGGCGATAAATCTGTGCCCGGCTTTTTGGGATGCTCTTTATTCAGGTTTAAAGTTAATGCTGGGTTTTCTCCTGCAATATAGGCGAGAGAGGTACTACAAGAGGAGTCGAATGTTCAGCCAGTGGTATGTATCCCGCCGTCCGTCTTGCATCTAACTTAATAGCGGTGCATTTGTTCCCGTATGCTAATTCATGGTTTATTCTCTCACAGAAATGCCCAGTGACAGTTTGCGGAGATATACACGGCCAGTTCCATGATCTCATGGAGCTGTTCCGTATCGGCGGCCCTAATCCTGATACCAACTATCTTTTCATGGGTAAGAAGAGCGAGCGCTTTTGTTCCCCCACTTACTTGTCCTTCTGTATGCTCATTTACTAACCTATTATAACAATTAAAAGGCGACTACGTCGACCGTGGTTACTACTCCGTCGAGACGGTGACTCTCCTCGTCGCTCTGAAGATCCGTTACCCACAACGCATCACGATCCTCCGCGGCAACCACGAATCGCGTCAGATTACTCAAGTCTACGGCTTCTATGACGAGTGCCTGCGGAAATACGGCAACGCCAATGTCTGGAAATACTTCACAGATCTCTTCGACTATTTGCCCCTCACCGCCCTGATCGACAACCAGATATTCTGTCTCCACGGTGGTTTGAGTCCGTCCATCGACACCCTGGACAATATCCGCTCGCTGGATCGGATTCAGGAAGTGCCCCATGAAGGCCCCATGTGTGACTTGCTCTGGAGTGACCCGGATGATAGATGTGGGTGGGGTATTTCGCCGCGTGGCGCTGGCTATACCTTTGGGCAGGATATTTCGGAGGCGTTTAATCATAACAATGGATTGACCCTGGTTGCAAGAGCTCATCAGTTGGTGATGGAGGGGTACAACTGGTCGCAAGATCGAAATGTGGTGACTATATTCTCAGGTGAAACTCTCTCTTTTCCTCTTACAATTTCCTATCCCACTTTAGAAGCAACTGTTTAGGATATAGGCTAACATTTTTTTTTGTCGCGTGTGCGTCCATGTGTTTGGATCAACAGCTCCGAATTACTGTTATCGATGCGGCAACCAAGCTGCCATCATGGAAATCGACGAGCATCTCAAATACACGTTGTAAGTGGACCCTCTCCCTCTCCTCCATAATACCACACCCCTCCCGCAAACAAATTGCTGACCCTAGATCCCTCCCCCCTCTCTTTTTCTTTTTCCTACGCTCCAGCCTCCAATTCGACCCTTGCCCACGCGCTGGAGAACCCATGGTCTCCCGCCGCACGCCAGACTACTTCCTCTAGATAGAAATCATGTTCTCATCCAATGCAACAATGCAAACAATGCAAAGCACCGCGTGCCTATCTATTCCTCACTCAACCTTTTATACCTAATTACTTCTCCCTTTCTTTTTCTTTTTCTTTTTTCCTTTTCTATTTTTGCTTGTGTCTTCTGCGCATTTTACAGAGAGAGATAAAAAGCAAGAAACGAAAGAAACGAACCAAAAACTCAACACAAAGAAGAAAATTAAATTTCCAGCTTCATCTTTAATCAGTTATTTGGGTTGCAGCAACATTACCATTTGATTTGCAGCTCGAGACTTTTTGCCTTTGCCCGCTTTTTTATCTTTCTTGTCATTTTCTTCCCCTCCCCCCGGTCTTTTTACTGTTTTTGTTTTCTTCTTTTGATATTATGCAGATATAGTAGTAGGTTTTCTTCCCTCACCCTTCTCTTTTATCTTGACGTTGTATGAATGAATAAATCCCCATCCGAGCGGCTGAGTTCATGCTCCGGGTGGGGGGATGGGATGGGATCAAAAAAAAAGACGCGAGGCGGACAAGAATGCAACGGGGGGGAGTACAGAGTTCAGAAGTAAATAGTCGTGACAACATATGCGTAATAGTCTTCTTTTCCTTTCTGCCTGCTTTTCTTCCTCCTTCCGCGTTGTGAGATGGGCGGGGGGGATGCGGGAGTGGTCTTAGGGTGAGGGAGGATACCTATGGAAGTTCTCAGCGCTTATGTAGATGTTACATTGGGAGGGGAGACTGACTTTCTCTCGTGCGTATGAGAGAAGGGATCAGCGATGCTGTCTGGATGCGAGGCTTTGGTAGTTACAATTATGTCCCCCACAACTCGACCAGGTTACAGAAACATCAGAAGCGAAGCCGAATTCCATCGGCAGCAAGCGAGGACCTGTGGCGCAACGGTAGCGCGTCTGACTCCAGATCAGAAGGTTATGTGTTCAAATCACATCGGGTTCATCAGATTCTGTTCTTTTTTTTTTTTTTCCCGTCCACGTTGTCAAGAGTAAGCATCGAGTGTTTTAACTCTTGAGGCAACTTAAAAAAAACCTGAACATGGGTTCGTGTCAGGCAAGGGCGTCAATGACCTTTGTTACAGAGCCATGGTGACCTGTTTGTCCAAGAAGAACAATTATCTGTTCCTGCGAGCAAACCAAGCCTGCAATGAGCTCTGGGAAGCTTGCGGAATGATCTTCACCAACTGGGTGTTGCTATTGTCCAATTTCCCAGTGCCACATAAAGCTTTCCTCCCACTTGCTCCACACCAATCATCATGTGCTTAAATAATTGCTTTTTGGATAACTATATGAATGACCATTCACTCACAAAAAATGAATCAAGTCACCAACAATCTTTGCATCATATGTCTTGCCTAGTAGTCTCTCTGGAATCATCTTGCAAATGACAGGAGCCTAACAATGATCTTGAACAACCACATCATCAATTCAAAACACTGAAGCTCGGCGGGTCTCATCAGTATATTGGGATAATCTGTCAAGAATTTGGTTGATCTAGGACACTTTATGAGAATTCAGTCATGTAACTAACAGCTCTTCGAACAGGATGATGGAGTCAGAACAACATTGTTGTCAGCCACTAACTTGGACAGCTTCCATGCGACACTAAAGCATCATTGCCAGCTATCTTCTCTCAACCCCTTGAGCGGCTGCAAGCCTGAAACTCTTAAGGAGATAAAGAAGCTCTCCAGGCGGGGGTGAGCCTGACTTGTCTGACCTTAGGAAGGTATGTAATTTTAGCAGCATACTGTATGACACTCATGCTGATATTTACATCAAATCAGTTCCCAGATCCTTGTATTCGTTTTTATTGATCAATGAGCACAAGTAGTTCAGGCTGCCAGAAGTGACATGCAGGGTCTGCTTCAGATGATAGTGACAATAAGATCACTACAAAGACTACAAGCATCAAGCACTACACTCTATGATCAGAACTTTCAACAACATTAGTTGATCATGGTGTCTATCTGAATATAAATATCACAATGGCCAGAAACTGACATAACTGAATAACTGACTCGAGCTCAATGAATGACTGACACAACTCTGAGCTCCTCTCACTCTCAAAGTTCTCTAAGCAAGAATTTGATCACTTTTTTGATGCTCAGTTTAAGCAGATAAATCATTAAATCTGTGATGAGCTTAGCAATTTCATTGTTCTGTCAACACAGAAAGATCTTTCAATAGTTTCATCAAACTTCTTGTAAGAGATTAAAGACTCTGATGAGTCATCTGCCGTTGCTACAATGACAAGCTTGTTACAATATGCAATGAGAGTTTGAGAAATATATAAACTTCAGTCATACAAGCAGGATGAATCTGTCTACAATAACATAATTTACATAATAACATTAATCTATCAAGCTGATCAACTCAAGCTCTATACAACATATTCTATCACTTCTTGAGAAAGTGATGATTGCTCTGAATACATTATGATCCTGCTAAGATTATTTGTGATGACTGATAACTCAGATACTTTTCAGAGCAGGGCATGTGTGTATCAAAATGTGCACATGGAAGTACAATCAGAACTCCTCTCTATATCTGAACATGAGGCAATCTCTGAGTACATCATTATCCTGGAGAACTCTGATACATCAGTCATGATTGATGAAGCTGAGTTTCATTATACTGCATCATGGAGCTTCACACACACAAATGACACATATATCACATCCTCATTGCCATTCAGTTGGCTTTCAGTCAAGAATATCGAGGACCCATCGCAGAAGCAAAAAGCCGCCCTCGTCAGCATCAGCGCCCCAAACGCAGCCCGTCGTGCAATTCGACGTCACTGCCGCCCCAGGTGCCGCCCTCGCTGACCTCCAAACCGCGATCGAAGCCTACCTCGGCCCGGGATGTGCCCATCGACTTCCTCTTCGCGAACATCGGCTATGCCTCCCTCAGAGGTGGAGAAGGAGATGTTTGTGCAGATTGGGGTGAAGAGTACGCCTGTGGGGAGGATTTTCGAGTGCGGAGGAGGTTGCGAGCGCGGCGGTCTCTATAGGGTTCGAAGCTACTTTTTCGATGGGGACGGAGTTCTTGGCTGCTAGGGGGTTTGAGGACGTTGCAGAGGGAATAAGGGAAATGTAGATTGACTAGGGTGGGTGGGTTGTGTTTTGCAGAGTTTGTTTCTTTTTTAGGGATAGGAAGTGGGAGTTTGTTTTAGACGGGTTGGGATGGTAGGGTATTAAATGGAATCCATTGGCTGGGAGATGTCTATCTATCTATCTATATATGTAAAGGATATTGTGCAAAAAAAAGGGAAATTATCGCGGAGCCATGTGCATGTATGAGAGAGGTGAAATGAGAACATCATTATCTTCAAATGCGGGGCAGAAGGAAAACGCCAGTGGGTACTGTACTCCCGTATATTTTATATAGGAAAAAAAAAAAAAAAAAAAAAAAAAAAAAAGAGAGAGAATTTCCATGGTCTATACAAACAAGAAGAAGCATGAAATGTATGAATCATATAACCTATTAACAGCATTATACCTCACGAAGCGGACTCAGGAGCTCGGCTGGTTTCAGAATCGGAATCTTTCTCATCTACATTATTAGTAGTACTGTCAACCGTGTAAGTTCGCACTTTGGAACTGCCGTTGGGGACGTGGAATCTCAAATCCACCCGTGAAAAGAAGTAGAGAAACACGACCGTAGCTTCGATGCCGAAATTAAAGATATAAAAGCATGCCCTGTGGTGATACCACGCTGGATCGTTGGCCATGCGTGGAGGCATGAAAGTCGTTCCTGCACGGAAACCCGCTCCGAGACACAGCAGTAGGGAAGCGCTAGCTGTGATGAGGACCTTTGCCCTGAGGCTCCCCTGGCCGAATTGCTCGGTGGGTTGGCGACGCGGGGCTAGCACGATGAAGGCGAGCAAGGGGATTGGGAGGAAGGAGACGAAGGTGAAATAGGACACGCCCCACCATTGGAGATTGCGGTCGGTCAATCGGATGTCTGTGTCTAAGGTGTAGAAACTTTGGACGGTGGCTGTGATAACCATCACGAGGGTCAGTCCGATGAGGACGAAGAGCGCCTTGAAGGTGTAGGAGAATGGCCGTGACCAGCCTATGCGCGGATGGGTGGCGCGGAAGATGCGCTGGGTGTACAGGAGGTTAAGAATGAAGAGTAGTAGAACGCCCGCGGCAACGAAGATCTGTGCTGCGATTGCGATCTGGGTGTTGGTCAGGCGGTTCGCCCATACGATCCGGAGCACGGAAGCTGTGATTCTCGTCATGCAGACGCCGAAGGTTGCTGCTGATGGTATGAATTTATGGCCTCGAGTCATGTTTTTTCGGAAGAGAGCCATGTGGCAGGCAGCACCAGTGATAAATATCGCGAGGAACACTGCGGTAATGGGGACGTCTACAGAGGTTGACGGTCGACCTCCCATGCCTGCAGTAGTAGGGGGGTACGGAGGGCCAGGTGGAGGGCCCATGGGCTAAGTCGTGAAAGTAATTGTCAATTTCAAGGCCTCTCTCTCGGCAGAGATGTCATTCATTAGTTAGATATATAAAAAACTGCCATTTCATACCTTTCCCCCTGGGGGCCCGGGTGGGAAACCAGATTGTTGAGACATCCGGAGGCTTCTCTCGCCTGTTCTAAAGGGTGACTTTGACTTTCTTCCGATCTTTGCCAGAGGGGTCTGAGCTTTCTTTCCCACGAGGTTGAATCTTGAAGAATGCCTGGTTATGTATGCCCTGGACTTGAAAAGGAGTCGCTCTGGGATTAAAAATAATGGAGCTAAGGGCAAAATGTATTAAACCAAGGGAGGCCTTTTGTTCCTGAACAAGGCCATCAATATTGACAATCCAAGTAATGTACTCCGTATAGAGCTAAGTCAGAGTCAGGTTAGTTTTCTCCATTTTGAGAAAGGAGGCAAATGCCTTTATGTATTTATTTTTGGCGCAAAGGGGGATAAAACTTCAAGTTCTTCAAACCGCGATCTAACCACGATCTAACCACGATCTAACCACCAGTGTGGAGGAGCGGCCCATCTTGTTCACCGTCGGCAGAAGGGCCAATTCTCCCCGACGGGCTGCTGGCCGAATACCAATCATAGCAACAATAATAATAATAATAAATCATGGCGGACAGGCATGGCAAAGCAAAGGTGTTCCGGCATAGTTAAGCAGCTCCGAATCGCATCTTCTTATGTTATTTAACCAGGCCCTAGATGCTAGTTAGATGATTTGTAACGTAAGCTAAGTGCTCTCACCTGCAATCTCTGTCAGACCCTGATATACAAGAGTCTTCCATCTCAACAATTAATATTTACGCCGTAGAGATTATAATAATAATAGAGAAAATAAATTTGAAAATAATCTCCCGGGTTGGAATGTTGGATGTTTGGGTTGGTGGCTTAGTCAGATAACTCGGCACATCGGGGGTTACAACCCCGGGTGTATACAGAAAACTTGACCCCGCTAAGTGCGCCACTTGACCTCGTTATGTAATCATGACCCCGACCTCGCACAATACAGTAATAATCAGTTGGTAATTGACTTTCAACCTTTCAATTCACTCATTCTCATTCACTCAGTTCATCAACTAATCAAAGCATGTATAGCTGATTCATAATCAATTAAATGAACAGACAAATTCATATAGAATATAAAGAGATATTTTACAGAATTTTAAAATATATTAGAATAAAAATATTTAATAATTAATTTTAAATTGATTTTAAATTGATTCTGAATTAATTGTTAATTGATTATAGTAATAAAAATAAATTCAATTTATATATTTAAGTAATCTCTCTATATATTAAAGAAAAACCAAAGCCCCGGTGACCGAATGGTTAATGCGGCCACTCAGTAGCATCTTGGCGTGGGAAACCAAGGCGCGTGGGTTCGAAACCGCAGGGGATACATTAAATCTGAAACTCAAGCACCTCAGGTTTCTAATAAATACAGAGGTGTACAAATCACTTCAATGAATGAATCACTCTATGTTCCTGGGCTGAGAAGTTATTATTGCATGTATCTAATTGTCACTTCTTTGTATTTTTCTATGTTCTTGTTATCTTGATGTGGTCTCAACACCTGTATTTCCTCCTGTATAATTAACACTTGACCTGTATTTAACATCACGCAAGAACTCATCATAAGCTCCGCTTGTATATGAGTATAATGGAAGAATAATAATAATAATAATAAAGAAAAACTAACTTTTTCAGGTAAAAAACACTGTAATATAATCTTATGTGATATTACATGCATCTTATTAAATTTATAATTGAGATTAATAGTCAGCTCTGCAGTCTGTACAACTCTGATAGATAATCTTTATTCTTTTCTTTACAGATATTCTCTACTATATTTACATTCTTTATATTCTTATCTATATTTATTACAATCTGTATATTTATTAATATACTCTTTTATACACTGCTGTTTAATATGTGAGAATTCTCATTCTCTCAGCATGTTTAAACATTCTCAATTCAATGCATTATTCTGTACATACTCTACATACTGTCAAGCTCAGTATTATGTATATTAAACACATTCAGTTCAAATCTCTTATCTGTTATTGAGAAATGTAGCTGCTTCTGTACTTAACTCACAGTAAGTTAAGCTGTCACACTGTAATATATACTGTGAAAACTGTTCATCTCATCTGTTCTATACTGCTAATTATGTGTTCAAGAACTATAACAACTGTCAGACTCTTAATTATAAACATATCTGTGATATTAAACATTATTATCTGACAGCTGCTGCAGCAGTTCATACAGACTATATATATATAAATTTATCAAAGTGACTGTTTCTTAATATTCTTAATAATTGAACTGACTTAACTATCTCTGAATTAGCTGTTAATTCTTCAATCACTCACAGCTACTGATCTATTCTCTACAGCTTTCAGTTCTATACTTATCACTGTTAATTACTTAATTTTAACTGAATAAATGTCTGCTCTCTATCTACAGAGCTAAGTATTGAATTAATAAATATATACACAGATTATCAAAGACTCTATTAGTGTTTTCTACATACTGTGTAAGAGATGCTGTAAGACTGCTGTCTGTCAAAGAATCTTCACAAGAGCTATATAAGCTGTTTAATAATAATACAGTTGATATGAACTATTTCTGTAAGTATATTCAGAACTATAACTCTGTTCTGACATTTACATCTATTAAGTATAAGCAGAATTCATGTCTAAGTCATCTGACTACTAGCAGCTCAGTGTTATTTTAAATATAGAGAGAACTCTATCATCTATAAGAATTATTAAAGTCTGAGTCAGATGAGAATGTCTGTTTTATACAAATATAAATTCATAACTCACAGTTTGATACAGATATTTTAAACAGTGCAGACTCTATTATATATTCTAGTATATTTAATTATATCTATATTATATTACTTACTGTTTATTCATTTACTTTTTCACATTCTTCTATTATATTATTATAACTGCTAATATTTCTAAAATTAATTCTTTTATTCAGCTTTATCAGTTTATATAAGAGATACTACAGAACAGCTCTGCTATATATATCAGTTTAAATCCTGTTCTACAGCTGAAGACAGATAATAACTGTTATTATAAGAATCTATCTACTATCTCTGAGATTGCAGTTATTATACAGAATACTTTTAACAGTACTTATTATCTCTGTATCATTCTTCTGACACTACAACAGTCTGATACTGACTTGAGTCTTATATATATTAATTCTTACAGTTTATTATATCTTTCACTGCATTATATTCTACTTTTTTCTTCTGAAGATCACAGCTGATATATTGATATAAATATGCTTACAGATCTCTCACTCATCTGCAATGACTCTGATAATGATGTTAATAATACTGTTAAGAATGAAGATAAGTGTGATGACTGTAGTCTGACTCTGTATATATGACATGTAT